TTTGGCTGCCGCGGATTGGTGGCAGCGGCTTGGTGGCGCTGTGGGTGCTGGTGATGCTGCTCGTGGTGTCGACGTGTCTGTTAACGGTGATGCCGGTAATGCAGTTTTTCTTCTTGTTGACTGTGTAGCTGCTGCCATTATCAGTTCGTGCCGAAACGCCGTTTACAAATCCGTGAATCAGCCAATGAACCCGTAACCATAAGCCCGAAAATCCTAAACGCTTACGTTTACCCTTATCAAACAGCCCTTATCATCGCCCTTTCAGACCCCTTTAAAGGAACCCTACTATCGGTAACTCTTAAGCCCTAAACCCTTATCAAGCCCTCTGGGAGAAGCAGCCTCCATCTTGTCGACCTCGTCGAGGCGCGACTCGACCTTAAGGAGTCAGTGGAAGTTGCCACTCGTGTATAGATAAAAAAACACATATATACAGACACATATATACAGATATAGATATAGATGTAGATATATGTATAGGCATAGGTATAGATATAGATATAGATATAGATATAGATATAGATATACATACAGATATTCATATAGATATAGATATTCATATAGTTACAGATTTATTTAGACATAAATATAGATATAGATACAGATATTGACATAGATAGGTATAATTAGGTATAGATTTAGATATAGATACACATAACGAGAACACTACACTGATGCACAGCGGATGTCATGTATCGATATTTTGAAGTGCCGAACAGGTTTGTTAATTTGCACAGCTTGCGGGTAACGATGCAATTCGTGCTTTTGAAAGTTCACGAACTGAGAACGGACCCAAAGCAAGAACATATCAAGAATGCAACAGCTTCTGCCGCAATTCTCGGGCTCTGGCGTCATTTGCACAAGATTCATGCTGCGTGCGTGATCTGCAACAGCGACAGTGCACTTCTCGGATTTCGCGTTTGGGGTTTAGGGTTCAGTGCTTGGGGTTTATGAATTCGAAGCAGATGTAAGACTGACCATTTGACCGTGAGAGCTCAAGCCAGACACCGAGCCGGCAACACGTGGAACATGCATGGCCGGCAAAGGGGCCGAAACTGCGAGTCCAACGTGCAAGATCCATGGCTTCGGAGCTAGTTTTCGCAGAAGAGGTTGGTTGAAGGTTTTTTGGGGCCGAGGGTTGAAACACGTTCAGGTTTCGGCGCTAAAACAAAGAGAAACTTTGGAAGTGGCTGCTGGCCGGGTCGAGAATTTCTGGCCCTCGGCAGTTTTGTTTGGAGGAGTATTGGGGTGCGGGAATCTCTCGATGTTGGTTGATGATGATTACCCTGGAGCCTAATCCCTGTTATGATTAAGTGGCTTGTTTGAGCATTTCAGGGGCTGTATATTGTATCTTAGAAAGTTGTGTATAAGCCTTCTTTATTTGAAATCTCCCCCATGTCGAGGCATAAGAACTGATTCTAGGAGTCGTCGAAGGTTTTCTGTTCCTTGACAGCTTCCGCTGCGGCAGTGGCAGAATCCTGAAAATGTCAAAGAGGTTTTTGCAAGGATTTTCTGAGGCATTCAGGGTTGCGTGGTTTTGGGGTTTTAGGCTTCGGGGTGACTTTCGATAGTTCTTGGTCTTTGAGATAATATACAAGCAAAACATAAAACGACCTAATACTCTTTCTATGTTGAGTTCGCAAAACAGCAAACATGCCAGGTGGTTCCGGAAAGAAAGTAAATCCCTGAACACCTCGGCAATCCACATCCGCCCGGCACGACCGTCATACCCGACGCCCCCTGGGTTTCTCAAAGACATCCGTTGACAAGGATTTCGTAAACCCTAGAACTGCCCGACGGTGCATCATCCCGAACCTTACAAACTTTCGTTCCGGCTGGTTGAGAATGCTGGAAGCGCGAATGCGTAGTTTTGCTGGCTTCAGGCGGCTTGAGGGTTTGCATACCGACAGGTTGTTAGTTTCTATGACAACTGCACTGTTGGTAGTATGAGTGATAGTAGTGAAGGCTATAACAGCAGCAGCAGCAGCAGCAGCCGCGGCAGCAGCAATGGCCGCAGCTGCGGCGGCAGCAGGAGGAGGAGTTGTAGGAGTAATAGCAGCAGGAGGAGTAGTATTATGATTCGTAGTAGTTAGTAGCAGCAGCAGCAGCAGCGGCAGCAGACATCATGGTTTTATTCACAAGAATCTCAGTATTCACAGCCAAAAAGCAAGATCAACAGCGCTAGCTAGCTGCTCGCCAGAGTAAGGGTACGATCATCAATGGTTTGTGTAAAGAGGAGCAAGTGTCCCAAACCCTGCAATTGCTGCGTCTTTGCGCCAAGGAGGCAGCGCCACACAATCGGGCATCCTGTCTTGACATTTTTCGTTAGATCAGTGGTACCGGCAGGCATGGCATTGGGGCTCCTGATTTTCGTAGGGTTTCACATAGATTATCTCGGGGTTTGTATCCATGTTTATGAAGGTTTAGTACATGTGCACATGATGCCATTCAATGTCTGACGATCTTCTTGCTTGGGAAAAGTTTTGAGATTGTCCTTCACATAAACAGCAAAAATCGGTCCGGTAGGTATTATCAGATAAGCACGGTTGGAGAATTAGATGTGCATGCTAACATACACAAAAGGATGCATGCGGCCTTGCATTTCCTTCAGATATGGGCATACACATGCAACCATGGATGCATGCTTACATGCGTTGTAGTGCACCACACGCACGTACACCACGGTTGATGATATAAATCCTGCATCACCTCATTGTAGACTATTGGAATTATGGTACATTCTTTATGATGGGTAATGCAGACCCTAAGCCCTAAACCCACTATCTGGGTAATAAAGGTTACCCTATGCCTCCAGGGACCTTATTCTGGGGTCCTTAAGCTCTATATCATCAACCGTAATGTGCTCGTGCGCTTATTCGATGTATACCTGTATACGGAGCAAGCGAAGGCAGGCAGCGGTATCTGTATGTTTCAGATGGAGGTTCATGGGTAGTAGTTATAAGCGGGCTTATAAATCCCCTAATATGGGTTATACGGTTATAAGTATAGTTACGCTACTTATAACCCCACTTATAATTAGTCTTTATTTATCATCTCGCAGCCTTGACCAGCTAAATGCTCGGAGATAGAGTCTGAACCCCCTCAGCAATGACAACGACGAGTTGCTTGTATTTCGGGTTCACAAGTTTCGGGATAAATGTATGAATGAATGCTCTCAAACTCTGCATCACAGTTAGTATCCTGCACTACAGAAACCATAGTCTACCCTTAGGCCCTTGGTGTGGAAAATGCAGGTTTTGTCCATCAGGAGTATCGTTTTGAGTTTCTTTTCCTCCAGTTCGGAGCATCTGGACGGGCTCTTTCAGAGCCACTAGACCGACCCGAACACTCAATCCTAATTTCGGCCGGGTCGAGGTGGTTGCCGCCGCCAAAATCTCTCATTCGCTGTGTGTCGAAGATTCGGTGATACAGGCCGCAATGCCTCAGTCGGAGCAGGCACCTGCTTGGGGAGGGTGCGGGCGCTTGAGTATCTTTAGCGCGTTCAGTAGGAGCACTAACACCTGAGCATTCAAACCGTTCACATCGTAGACATGCATGTTGACCTACTTAGAAGCATACACTAGCCATGCATTGGACTACGCCGCACATGCGTGCACCATCTAGTCTGCATCATTTGCATCTTCTATTTGTTTGATAGACACAAGTCTGCATCACAGTTAGTATTTCCTACACTACATAAATCACTATCTACCCTTAGGCCCTTGCTATGGAGTATCGTTTGAATTTCCTTTCCTCCCGTTCGGAGCATCTGGACGGGCTCTTTCAGAGCCACTAGACCGACCCGAACACTCAATCCTAATTTCGGCCAGGTCGAGGTGGTCGCCCCCACCAAAGTCACGCATTCCCTCAGTGTCGTCGAAGATTCGGTGATACAGGCCGCAATGCCTCAGTCGGAGCAGGCACCTGCTTGGGGAGGGTGCGGGTGCTTAGTATCTTTAGCGCATTCAGTAGGAGCACTAACACCTGAAGATTCAAACATTGTGATGTTCACATCGTAGACACATACGCACAAGCATGCACTAGCCATGCATGCATTGGACTACGCCCGCACATGCGTGCGCCATCTAGTCTGCATCATTTGCATCTGCAGGTTGTTTGATAGACACAAGTCTGCATCACAGTTAGTCCATCCTGCGCTACAGAAATCATAGTCTACCCATCAGGAGCATCGTTTTGGCCTTCTTTTCCTCCCGTCACTAGACCGACCCGAACACTCAATCCTAATTTCGGCCAGGTCGAGGTGGTCGCCCCCGCCAAAGCTTCTCATTCGCTCAATGTCGTCGAGGATTTGGTGGTAAAGGAGCTACAGGCCCGAATGCGGGAAGTGCCCGAGTAGCTTTAGCTTCGTAGATCTCAGGAGGACCCCAATATACACAGGCAGGCACATGAAGCAGTCACTTGTCACTTGTGAAAACAATCGGCCAGCAGCAGCAGCAGCAGCAGCAGCAGCAGCAGCAGCAGCAGCAGCAGCAGCAGCAGCAGCAGCAGCAGCAGCAGCAGCAGCAGCAGCATCAGCATTTCAGCATCATCAAAACAATAATCATCCTCTTCCTCGTCATCATCGTCGTCGCCATTATCATCAGCATCATCATCCTCGTCATCACCATCATCACGAACATCGTCGCTCCCATGACAATCACAATCATCACCCGGAGGCAAAGTTATCGTATCATTACGGTCGTTATCGTCAGTGTTGTTATCGTCCCCAGTTTGCTTATCGTCTTGCCTTTCGTAGTCGTCATCATGAGCACCATCCTCCTCCTCCTCCTTCTTCTCCTCCTGCTTGTCATCCTTTTCACCCTCGTGTGCGAGTCAATGCCTCTGACTTTCCTATGTATCCAAAGCCACAGCCCTAGGCTACAGAAGCAGCAAGCCGTGTCCCCTTTGCCAGAAAATCAGGAGAAGCCGGACCATGAGTTGCTGTCTGGTGCAGTCGGCATCTGTCGCTAGAGTCGTAGTAATGATTGGAGCAATGGCTCGTAATGGTGCTCCTCTTCCTTCCTCGTGCTGGAGTTGCTGGTGATGGTAGTGATGGTGATGAAGGTGGAGGTGGTGGTGGTGGTGGTGGTGGTCGTGCGGCTGCTGCTGCTGCTGCTGCGGCCGCTTGATGCATACATACCAGTTTATAGTCGCGAGATTTTTGCAGGGTGCGCTGCCACCGCGGAACCGACACTCTTAATCCTGAGAGCCTGCACCTGTGCGCTGGGACTTTGGGTGTAGGGTTTCTCAAACCCGAAACTACTAGATCCGTGAGACAACACCGCAAAAAATGCGTGTGCTGTCCAAAGTTGCACAATATTAATGTTAGGAGCCTAATGGGTTCACACACCCGGAACCTGATGGGGGCCTGAGGTTTCTTGGTCCGGCTCTTACAATAATAGCCCTCGCAGCCGGAACCACAGCCTAGCAACGATGCAACACCAAACCCAAACCGCTAAATCCCCATACCACCCACAGAATGATCCTGAAAGCCCTAAGCCTTACATTTCCTGAACCCCAAAAGGTTTAGGGTTCAGGGTCTATGCCCTAAATTACTAGCGCCCGCAAGCCCAAGCCCGTCTTCCTGCGCTGATCGCGCCAGGAGAAGCGGCGCCATGACGAGGGCTCGGAAGACTTTTCCAGCATTGAGGACGAGGAACAGTACCAGGCCCCTGGGGTTTAGGGTTTAGGGTGTAGGGTTTGGGGTTTAGCTGGCTTCTTTGATAGGAGGTTTTTCTCAATACTTTGGGTTGTTTGGAAACGGTTTCGGCAGGATGTTTATGAGAGTCTTCGAGCGCTTTTTGCTCGTCCTTGAGCTTCATAGGGTGATGGCTTTGATTTCAGGAGTAAACTGTTACCAAGGAAAGGCATGTCCAACTGTGAAACCCTCATAGAAATTGTGGGGATGCTCAGGTTTAGGGTTCAGGAGGTTCAGGGTTTAGGGCTCAGGAGAGCTTTTTTGAGGTCTTTTTGGGGAGAGTCCAGGGTGGAGCTCCGAGAGCCTTGAGGGACTTCCAGGCATCGCGCTCTTAGGCGTTTTTTGGGAGTGTTGGGGTTTCCAGATGTGGGTAGTTCTCTGAATCAGGGTCCCTTCAAGGGTGCTTTTTACCAGGGTGCCGTAGAATGTTGGGGACGTAACAGGGGACCCAAGTTTAGAGAACTGGCCATGTCGAGGGTGTGGAGTCGACGTCTGGTTTCTGCCGGGGGCTAGCGGCTAGCAGTTTGTGTTCGTCCTGACCATCAAGATCACGCAAGCCTTTCCTAATCACCGGCACCACATTTGGCCCAACAGCCTCCTCTGGAGACCCCTTGTGGCATTGAAACCTGAATAGCTTCGCATAGCACCCACTAAAGACCCCCCATTCATTCGATCGCTTATGAACTGTTTGTAAACGTTTCGGAACTCCCTTTGAACCGTTTCAGAATTTCGTACAGAACCTCTACATCGGCCCTGCAGAACACTACAAAGTACCTTTTTGGAACCCATAGCTCTCGCCCGGATCCCCTAAACCCTTAAACCCTACACCACAAAACCCACCAAAACACCTGAGACACCCGAAGACTTTTAACACCCTTAAACCGTACATAAACCCCCGTGACTCCTAGACCCCAAGACCCTAAACCTTAAGCTCAAACCCTGCTTGCCGTCCTTGCCTAAGCCCCAAACCTTGAACCCTAAACCCGAAAACGCGAAACCCTAAACCCTAAAACTCGAAGCACCCGAAATTACAACCCTAAAACTCGAAAAAATCCTAAACCCTAAACCCTAAAACCCGGCCTTCCGGTAACACGGATTGCGCAGATAGAAGACTCTTCTAGCAGTCGCAAAAAGGCGTTCAAAAAAAACCCTAAAACCCTAAACACCCCTAAGCCGCTGAGAGGACCTCATCCGCCTCTTCCCCAGAAGCGAGCTCCTGGGTTCGTTCTTCGCGATCCCGCTGGGGTTCTACGACCCGGACCGAGCCCGTATCTATGTCTGTATGAAGTAGGGCTTATACTACCATTTTGGTGAGTGTAGATAGGGCTCCTTTTGAATTTTGGTGAGTGTATGTATTGGGTTTTATTATGGGGATACTAGTAATATAAACCATACACCATATCTATACTTACACCTATTTCTATAACTATATCCAACTCCATGCCTATATCTATATCTATACCTGTATCTATACGTGTATCTGTGTCTGTCTCTATATCTATACCTACATCTATATCTATATCTGTACTTCGTATGAGCATATACAAACATGCGCTTGCATACAACTGTTCCTATACAATGCATTGCCTTCAGGTCTTCTGTTTTGTTCCGTTTCTGTGTGGTTAGGGGGCCCTGGCCTGAGGGCTGCTGCTGGTCAGTGCACGGTTTGCGGCAATGTTGGGTTTAGATACTTAGCCAATATATCCTACACCGTAAGCCGACCTTAACCAGGGCTTACAGGTTTATCCATTAGACCCCTACCCTAACTCTAAGCCATTTACAGGTGGGTAGTTATTAGGTGGGTAGTTTCCCATAAGCCTCCCATACCCCTCCTATAAGGTAAAGGGGGTCTTATGGGAGTACTATGGAAGAAGAACTACCCACCTGTAAGGGGCTTCTACTAACCCTAAACCCCAAACACGCGAAGCCGTGCTTTGAGTCCAAACGCCCTCAGGTTTCGCGAGCTTGGGTTCCTCCACACACTTCAGAAGTAAGGGTTCCTGATTGAGGTTTGGATTTAGGGGGTTTAGGGTTCTTAGGGTAGGAGGGGTTTAGGGTTTAGGGGTTTAGGGGTTTAGGGTTTAGGGGTTTAGGGTTTAGGGTTTGGGGGTTTAGGGTTTAGGGTTTAGGGGTTTAGGGTTTAGGGGTTTAGGGTTTAGGGTCTGGGAGTTCCTTGTTAGAGCCGGAAAAACTATGCTTGAGCTGATGTGGGGCAACCGACTTTCTAGGCGCGTCAGCACCGTGACCCCAAACTCCAAACAGCCAGACCCTTCAAACCCTACATCCCTAGACTAGACCCTGACCTTCAAAGCTTGAATAGTAGGTAGGTCAGGGCTTCGATGGCCTTTTTTGGGGCTTTCGGATGCCGGATGGGCATCTCGCACATTCTCGGTGTGGCACTTTCCATTCATCTCGATTCCCAAACCCGAATCCCTAAAACCCTAACCCCTGAACCATCCACAAAGCCATTCCGGTTGCTTTGCTCTGACCTTCAACCCCTCCACAGGAGATGGAGAACTTGCAGCTTGGGCCAGAGGGTTTTGGGGTTTTGGGTGTAGACTTTCTTGGCGTTCATCTGGTTCACTCTTAGGACTTGAACTTTTTGGGTTTCCATAGTAACCATAGCAAGGAGGCTAAAAGTTTAACTTGTAGGGGAGGTTCAGAAGTCAGCCAAGCTTTGGGGTGTGGTAACTATACTTATAACCCATGTTAGGGGACTTATAACCCCACTTAGAACTGCCCATGAACCTCCAAGTAGGGTTTGGGGTGGTGGGGCTTAGGGTTTGGAGCTTGGGGTGGACGATCCTGGGGCGCAGCGAGCAAAGGCTTCTCTTGGCCTTCTTGTGTGGTTTTTGTTATATTATGGGAGTTTCATATCTGGGGCGGTTGCATCCTGTAGAGCTCTTATCAAGAGTCCGCATAGTTTTTGCTTCCAGGGTTGCCGTCAGGTTGGCTGGTTGCGCATTTCTAGGAGTTTGCTCCGGAAAATCAAGCGTATGTACTTAGATTTGGGGAGGCGAAGTGTAGGTCTCGCTCCGTCCGTCTAGGAACTTGGTTTTGGGTTCGGGGATGACCTCATGTCCTTGACTGTTGAGGCCCACACGTTCGTTTCTAGGCTTGTGCTGGGTCTTGCAGGGCTTCCTTCGCCTCCCCAAGGTCTTCTTCATGCTTGCAGGTATATATATATATATATATATATATATATATATGATGCAGGGCTGCCACACCCCCCCTCCCCCCCCACCCCATGGTATCCTCCCCCCTTCCCCCCCGCCCCCCCTGTGGTGTGGGGCCTGTGGTGGTACTCTTTTTGCCACGACGTTCTTATGTGTTACTCCTTGTCTTCCCTCTTGTTGTGGCACCGGTGATACTGCTCATGATGTTGTGCTGCTCTAGACCGGGACATGAGTCGACGATCATACCATGCTCAACATCATCCTTGTCGTCGTCATGTTCATCATTGATACCTTCAAAAGAAGATCTGCCACCATCACCATCGCAATACAACCCTCATAATTCAGCATTGCAATTCACGTCAGATGCCGCTTTCCGCACACGGCAGGGCATAGTGCGACACTCCCGATCCGCGCACAAGGTCAAGGGGCAGGCAAGGTGCGGGCCGGGGGCGGCGGGGCGGGTGGGCGTGCAGCAGCAGAGCGGCAGGGGGTTGGGGGGGGGGGGATACCATGGGGGGGGGGGGGGGGGGGGGGTGGCGGCCCGGGACCCGAGAGCATATATCTCCAATGTCGGGCTGCAGTAAGAAGGGCAGTGATTGCGCTGTCTATACTTATTACTTACAACTGGCCATGCATGATTCTGCAACTCGTCCTCAAGACCCCATCCCTATACTGACGATGCCATGTATGCCTCGCTTACTCTTCATAGCCCCTTCATGAAAGGTGTCCGAAGCTCTTAAAAATCAAGTCTCATCGGTCCTGAATCGAAGCTAAACCCCTCAGCAGGCTTGCAAGCGCCACCCACAATCCTATGCCCTACAACCCAAACGCCCAACCCCAAGCCGCACACCCTAAATGCCCTAACCCCAAACGCCGAAGCCCTTGATGGCCTAAACACCATCAAATCCCGAAGCTCTAATAGAGGCCTTAATAGCTACCAATACTATTTTGGAGCTTCCTGATTATAGTGATAGTATAATGGGCCCCCAGACTTTATTCCAATTATTAAGGCCCCTATATCAAGCCGCATGCCCAGGTACCACAAGAAGAAAACCAAGCAAACGGAGGAAAGGCTTCTTTGGTTACTCAGACGCTCGCCGCTCTCTGTGGGCCAACAGTCATCGGAAGGTGAATGCTGGTGGGGTCACTGAGGTTTCGGGCTTAGGGTTCAGAACTTTTGCGACTTCGAAAGGTTTTGTTAGGATTTCTCGATCCGTATTGATTCCTAGTGTATATATCGACGACATGACGAATCGACGACATGACGATTAGCAAAATCCTGTATCTTGTGTGCTGTGCTGTGTTTCTTTTGGAGAAGGGTGAGGTTTACTGGTGCCCATAAACGCAGGAAGGGGAAACATGCATGCGTACCCACAATGACCTTGCTCGGCAGCCTTATGACCATGAGCTGCTGCTGCATGTTCTTGCCAGTTACTGTTGCTGTCGTAATCTCATCGTTTGAACATTGTCCTCCCGAAGCCGACCCAACAAAGCGGCCTTAAACCCCAAACCCTGAACCCTACTGTCAAACTGCTGTAGGGCAGCTGACACTGGCAGCAACCCTAACTACCTAAACCCTAAGACGAGGGCCAAGGCACAGCCTTTTCCCTCAGCAGCAAAATGCACTCTTGTGCCTTGATGGCAGCGGTCGCAGCTCGGCCTTGCGAGGCAGGAAGGAACCTTACAGCTTTACACTGGTTCCTGCCTCTCTTCGGAGGCTTGGCACAACTCCCGTAAAGGGTAAAATCACTCCCTCGTCCATCATGCTCCACCAGGGCTCTCCCTTCTTCGGCTTTGTGAGTATATCCGCTAACTGGATCTCGGTCGGTATCCATCGTAGGGGTATCCCGGTCTGCTTGGACTCTCCGTTCGGGACCTCGGCCTGCAAGTCTTGACGAAGTGCAGCCAAGTCGATTCCCAGCCGACGGTCGGCGGGGATCCTCGGTTGCCCAGCTCGGTGGAGATGATCATGGACGGACTTGCAGTCGGTCAGCGAGAGAAGGGGGCAAAAGTAGCGTGCTTGAGCGAGCCGCACCAGGGGCCCTTTTACCAGCGTTGCTAGTAGTGCTCGTAGGTACTGCCCTGCCTCCATTGCTTCCACGGCCGACATGGTCTCGGCTCCGAACGTGCTGCGGCACACCCGTTGGCATGCCTGGCTCCTCCACTCGAGAATGCTCAATGGTGAGCGTTCTCCCCTGACCAGTTTCTGTTCGCCGAGACAGATCAGGTAGCCAAGCTGGGACGCAAGCTTGGACCGGTTGCGCTTCGGTTGTCGAGGTCGCTCCGGCGTGTAGAGGTCGTAGCCCATCTCGCCTTGTCGGATCTCCTCCGGCGTCAAGCGAAAACCCTCTTCGCTCTCCTCGTGCTCGGCGTTGGCCCAGGCCGCGTCGTGGTAGATCACCAAAGTGGCATCCTCCAGCTTGATAGGGTGTAGAGTAAGCCCTTTATCCTTGCAAGCGGCTGCACGCTGTGCCACTGTGTTGGTGAACCGTACGTCCTGGGTAGTCGGGGCCTTCTGGAGCTGCTGTGCGAGCGCCACGCTGCACTGAAGGTCTGGCCTTGTCTGGCTCGAGAGCCAGCTCAGAGCCCCTATTAGTGATCGGTTGTCGATCCCCTGCTCCTCGGTGGCGGGCTCGTCGGCGGGCTGGTCCTTGGGCACGTCGATGTTGAAGAGACGGCCCTCCACGAAGGCGGTCTGGTGTACTGTGATCTTCCCGTCCTTCTTTGTGATACGGGACCCAATGTAGTCGAAGTCGTCGGTTTCCCAGTCGTCGACCGGGAAGAGGAGGCTAATCTTCTCCTTGAGGTCGGCGGCGACCTTGGGCGGGGCGATGATCAACAGGTCGTCCACGTGGATAGCGATGTACCCCTTCGGCTTGGGATCGTCCACGGTCTGTAGGCAGAAGACGCACGGGTCCAGCGGGCAGGGCACCAGTTTGTGTACCACTCCGTCGATCATGAAATCCTCCTGGGAGAGGACTTCGCGGAGTCTATCGTACCACATCCGAGGGGACTCAGCAAGTCCGAAGACTCCCTTCTTGATCTTCAGCAACTGGGCTGGATCTAGCCCTTCCACTCCGCCACGGGGTTGTTCCATGTAGAGGTCTCTCCCGATCGCCAGGCCGTTGAGGAAGGCGGCCTGAATGTCACCCGCGGTCAAACACCAGTCCCATGAGGCCGCGAGTTGTAGGAGAAGGATAAGTGAGGCGCGGTTCACGGTGGGGCTGTCGGTGGATGTTCCCGGTCGCCAGGTCGGGGTCTAATCTTTCCGTCTTGGCACGCCGCAGCATGTGAGCTTCCTGAGGGGGCACCGCGGCCTCGCCTTCGGTTGGTGGCCCCTTTTGCCGCCGGCGTTTCAGGATAGACGCCCTTGGTCCCTCCAAGCTGCGACGGCTCCCTCGACTGGGTTGTAGTTCGTCCTCCTCCATTGCCAGTTGGACGCCCATCTCTTCGGCCAGGATATCGTCGTTGTCCTCGAGGTCGTAGTCCATCTCCTCCTCCACGGCGTCCACCTCCATGTCCTCTGCGAACGCCTCATCGTCGTCTATTTCTTTGGCCAGTAAGCGCTCGAGGTCTTCCCGGGCCGCCCTCATGGTGAAGGCCTGTCCCAACTCTTCGGCTGTGGCGAGCCGTATGTGCTCTGGTGCACAGAGCACACAACGTCCAGCTTTGGTGATCCAGAAGTTGGCTCCTTCTTCACCTATGACGGTTCCGGGGCCCTTCCACACCCCTCGCTTGGAGTTCTTCAGGTGCCGGAAGAAGAACACCTGCTCCCCGACCTCTGGCCGACGATGTAGAACTCGCGCTCGGCCTGCCAGTGCGCGTCGGACTCGATCATCCGTCTGCACATGATGAAAAGCGGCCCTCGCCCCCGTCCGCCTGGAGGTCCAACTTCTTCCTGGCTAGCAGCCGCGCAGTAGCCCCAAAAACGTGTTGTCGGGGGCTATAGCCATTGGCTCGGATGAGGTCATTCTTGGCCTGGGACACCGCTTGGACCGCTAGGTGGATCTCCGCCTTGGTCACGGACATCTCCTCGTTGACTCGGTGGAACACTGATTTCCAGATCCCTCCTTGCCGTTCTGCAAAGCCGGCCTGCCAGTGGGCCTGTCCTGCAGCGGATTTCAGTTGCATGCCGGACCAATCTCCAACACGGGCCAATGACTTTTGGAGGCCGTTCTCCAAATCGACCGTGGCAACTTGAGGAACTCCAAAGTGGTTTCCCCATCCCTGGCAGAATGCTCGTTCGAGATGCCAGGTATCTTTCTTTGCCACAGGCACGACCACGTGGTAGGCGGAGGAGTAGTCGACGATGGATAGAAGCTCGTGTTTGTGTCCTTCGGTGTCGTGGACGTAGAAGACTAAGAGGTCGACTCCCACCACCTCGTTGAAACTCAAGCAGGATCCGATTTTAGCCGGCTTGGCGATAGCTGTCGCTTTGGTCCGGGCACAGGTCTGGCACTCTAAGGTACGGGCTGCCTTCAGGACTTCACGGCTGGCTCCTGCTAGTCGGAGGTGTCGAACGAAGTCGGCCTCGGAGGGGTGTCCCAAGTTCTGGTGGAGTCGCCGGAGACTCGTGGCGATGTGCTTTGGCACGGACGTAGGGAACCGGATACTCTTGGCGCCATCGGGTGGTGCCCTCCTTTCCGGTGGTTGGTCTTCACCCTGCACGGCCTCCCCGACGTAGACGCTCTCGGTCGTAGCGGCTACTGTGCCGTTGCACTGATCCGTCTCCTCTGGCACGGCCACCCGGAGGTACTCGATGCCCTCATGGTCGAAGTCGTAGTTCACGGTGTAGCCGGCTTCTTTCCACCCGGCCGTGGCGCGTGCCCAACAGTGGTGGTCGCCTCCTCCTCGTTGGAAGACGACGGCTCGTCCTCCACGTAGTTGATGGTCGGCGGCCTCCTCGATGTCGCGATACACTCGCTCGTCCTCCCAATCCTTCGTGACGTGAACCCACAACTCGCCAGGTTCGTGTCTCAGGGTCGCTGTCTCCACCGGGCCAACACCCATCTCCTCGAGCTGGTCGGCATTGGCCAGGTCCTCGTAGAGCAGGGGTTCCGCAACGTCCAGGTAGTTCTCGCAATGTCCCACCACGGTGCAGGTCGCGCGCACGTCGCCGACCTCCAGGATCGCAACATTGGGCTCCCGGCGGGGCATGATGTTCTCCCTGACGTAGAGGTCCATAACAGAGGTGGCCGTCGCCATCATCACGCAAATTGCCGCGACGTTCTTCCAGAGACTCTGTCGCATGCTCCGGCGTGGTCGTCGTTGGCCCTCGGTGGTGGACTTGTTGTCGAGGTGGTTCCGGCGCTTGTAGTCCTTGAGGTCACCAGCGGTAGGCACAGGGAACCCTACGTCCTTCAGGGTGTTCTTGGCACTCTTGGACGCATGTGGGATGCTGCGGGCGACGTAGGCAACCACGCTCCACCTCTCTCCGCTCCAGGTTTCGCTCGCGTGCTTCTGCTTTGGGTCGAACTCAACAATCCGGCCCTTGGGGTCGACGTGCATGCCGTAGATGTAGATGTCGTCCTCCTCGCGGCGAGGGACCGTGCCCTTCTCGTCGGCAATCCACAGCTTCCCGCCGGAGTGATCTCCACCAGTCCACATCAGGTTTCGGGAGCCTGGCATGTTGTTCCGGTCGGTGTGGATCCCGGCAGGTGAGTTCCTTGTGATAGACAAGGAGGTCCAGGAGTAGTCGTGGTGACCTCCTTTGCGCTCAAGGAAGAACTTGTTCAGGTAGCGTGCGAGGTTGGGCCATTCCATAGTTTTCTTTGTCACTCCGTGGAACTTCCCAAAAGCATAGTAGCCCAACACACTCCTATTGTCGCCCTCGTGGTGCACGCCCGGCCTCTTGTTACGGTCCTTGATGTCGTAGAGGGATAGGATTCGCTCGAGGGTCCTGTCGTCGTAGCTGCTTTCCTTGACACCTGCTTGGGCCGCCAGCTCCCCCGGGTGCTCGCTCTTCTTGTTGAGGCTTCCGGTGTCGCGGCAAGCGTAAACCTCAGCAGACGTTGCCAGGGGGACCGATCCGTTCGCTCCCTGATCATCCGAAGGGCAGGACTCATACTCCTCGTCCGATGCGATCTCCTCCCGGCCCACGTCCTTGGTGCCGTCGCGAAGCTCGCCGGGGTTGTCGGTGACGTAGACGTAGTGCTCGGGTGGACGCCGCCCTCCTCGTAGAACTCCTCCGTGATCGACTCCCCGTTGCGCCCGAGGGCGCCGTTCTAGTTCTGGGGCGGGAGCCCCGCCGCGTCCTTCAGGCACGCAAGTCGTGCCTCCAGCGCTTTGATCTCCTCGAGCATCTCCAAGGTCGGCTCCCTCTCCATCCGAGTGGCGCCGCTGTTCTCCTCCTCCGGGTGCCGTCGTGTGATTGGCTTCGCCTTCATCTTGGGGGCCAAGGGTGCCATCTGGTCTGTCTTCCACGCTGTGTCCTCGTTCGCCCGCACCACTGACCAGGCCGAGGACGCCGATGCTCCGGTCTCGCTCATAGGTGGCGGTGGGATCCGAGCCTCGGTCTCGACCCTCATGTAGCCCTGGGCCTTGGTCTTCGGGGCGGGACGGGTCTGTTCTCGCTGTCGGCGCGCTCGTCGCCACACCACGAACCGCTTCATCTCGGGGTGCATGTTGCTCCCATTGGCCCTCTCCTCGTCTGAGGCCCATTTGCCGTAGTTCTCCGGTATCTCGGTGTAGCTCGAGCCCTTGAAGCGGCCGATGGTCATGATCGTCTGGTCCGGGGCCACGGCGTCCCGGATCCGTAGAGTGATCGCCCCCTTGGTCTCGCGTGACCCGATCGTCAGTCCCAGTCCCGGCCTCGTTGACAAGCTCGTCGCGGGACATGCTCGTGAGGCCCTTGGGGAGCGTGGGCTGCTCTCGAGGACTGTCCACTGGGGCATTGTGGGTATGCCCCGCCTCACGCACTCTGCCTGCAGCTCGGTCTTCGACATCTTCCATATCGCGGGAGGGCGGGACGACATCCCGCACAAGGCGGGGGCACAAAGTAGCTGGATGTTCTCGATTGAACACGCTGCGGCCGATCCATAGAGTTGGATACCCAGCTGGATAACCTGTGCCCACATGGTCCTGCCACTGATGACAAACTGTGCTCAACGGTCTCTGGCTCCCGCATGCAATGCCCCAACTCTCACGAAGGCTTCCGAGGACTTGTAGTAGCATGTCGCGTTGTAGTGAGTTTGTTGTTTGCCACTTACTGGGGTCGAAGTAGTACTTTCGCGGTGTGACATGTACCCGGACTAGCTTCTCTGGGGTTTCAATCCAAAAGTCGCTGTCGTAGGAGCTCGCGTGCCACCATTGGAGGAAGGTATCATGAGGTAGTGCATCATCAACCAGCATGTTCTTGGCTTCGGGGCTTAGCTTCTTCTCGAAGAAAATACGGGAGAACTCGGTGCTAGGTCGCGGTGCTAGGCTCTCCCCAAAACCCTCCCCAGCAGTAACCGTCATGTACACCTCGCGGGTCGCGCTGAAGATCTGTACTCCTGGTGGTTCCCAGGGCTTCAACACCTCAGGGCCCGGCGGGACCTTGTCATCATGTGACACGGAGACAGACGGATGCCCGGAAGGCGTAGTGAGCAGCCGAACATTGCTGATGCCGAGCTTCCGGAAGTCGGCCGTGTCGTTCTCCAGGTCGAGGCAGGTGCCCAGCTTGGCCAGTGCCGGTTTCGAAATGAGCAACGGCACGTCGCCGTGGATAACGGCAGTCTTGACAGCCACCCAGTACCCGCCTAAAGGTATGAAGATCACGGCGGCAAAGTTCGACTCGTAGATACGGCTGGCACCAAAACGGAATGCTTCACGCTCGCTGATCATCTCGGGCTCCCGTTGGCGACCCTTGGTCATATTCAAATAAGCCTGGTACCAAGCTGTTCCGACAACTGACTTGGAGCAGGCAGAGTCGGTGATGGCAAGGAGGCCGTGGTCCTCGGTCGACGCCTTGAGATTGTCGATCTCGTGGGCCACGTGCACGGTCTGTACTTCGGGCTTGCGCTTCGGAGGGCCAGGGCAGCCGGGGTCCTTGTGCCAATGGCCCTTCTGTCCGCAAGCCGAACAGTAGCTCCGTTGCTTTGCCGCCTTGATTCGCTCCTCGGCGGTCTTGCGGACCGCCTCCACATCGACTCCTCGGGCTCGTGTGGAGTCCTTGTATCTGGCCTTCGCGGTCATGTAGGCGACGTAGAGCTCCCCGTTGTCGAGGTCAGGGTCGTCCGTGGTCGGCGCCTCCTCGTCCCCAATCTCGCTTCCGCCCTCGGCTTCCGCATCCTCCGCCAGGTTCACTGACTGGGGCCGGCGGGTGCCATCCTTGCCGGCCTTTTCCCACGGCTTCCTCATCGAGCGGTCGAGGATGATAGCCGCCTGCTGTAGCTGTGCCAACTGGTACTTGTTGCCCACACTGGCCAGCAGGCTGACCTCCGTAGCCTCGTCGAGGCTGGCCCGGTCCACATAGAGCCAGGCCGTCGCCACATCCGGCAAGCGGCAGCCGCACTCCACCACCCGCGCCAAAAGTCGATTGAACTCGGCCGTGTAGTCGCGGAATGTCTGGTTGTAGCGCCGCCGCAACTTACGAAACAAGTCCGACAAGGAGCGGCCCACCGACGTCACCTCCACATCCAAATAGTGCTGGGTGACCCAGGCGCGCAGGTAGTCGACGCCATCTTCGGCGCTGAGCTTCTCCACATCGAGGGCCTCGGCGTTCACCCACGCTGCACCTTCCAGGTGCTGGTAGAGCACAAGTGCCCTTTGGCTGGGCATCAGCTTTGTCATTCTCTCCCACGCAGCTATCTGTCGGATGTAACTCCTCGCGCTCGTGCCCAGCTCCGCGCCCTCGCCACTACCACTGAACGACGGTATCAGTAGCTTCTCCGAGGGGCCCCGTGCTCCACTTCCCTCGTGACCTCCGCCCGTCCGTGCCGGTCCATTCGTAGAGGTAGTGCCCGTCCATGCCGTAGCGCTCGGTCCTGGTCGTGTACCGGGGGGAGTCGACGGGGCCGCGGTAGAGGTGCTGGCCGCCCCAGCGCCCGCGCCGTGGCCCCTTGCGGCCCAGCTAGCTCCATGCCAGGTGTGCTGCCAGCCGCCGTGTCCCCACATGGTGTTCTGGCGGCCTCCCTCGCTCGTAGTCATGGAGGACTGGTTGGTGTCCACCGAGATGCGGCGAGTGCTGCCGCTGCCGTCCTCGAGTTGTCCGCCCATCTCGGGGCGCCACGTTCCCATCTGCCACTGCTGCCAAGCTTCTGGTGACCACCTCGTAGGCCCACGCACACTAGCCTCCCCATTGGCCGGTGTAGAGCCCGCGCCCCATCCACTGTCCACTGGGTGAACAGTGGTCCCATCACGGTGGCCGTCGGCTGCGTTCACATCGGCGCCGTGGTTCTCGTCGGGCGGTCTTGTCTCGCCCTCGTCACTGTTCCCGGTCCGCCACGTCGTCCAGGGGTCGTGAGCTGCCCAGGGGTCCTGAGGTTCCCAGGCGTCGTCGTGTTCAGGCGCCGCTGCGTCTGCACTCGGCTCGGTCGTCATGGCTCGTAACTAAGGCTCCGCTACCAGTGTCAAACTGCTGTAGGGCAGCTGACACTGGCAGCAACCCTAACTACCTAAACCCTAAGACGAGGGCCAAGGCACAGCCTTTTCCCTCAGCAGCAAAATGCACTCTTGTGCCTTGATGGCAGCGGTCGCAGCTCGGCCTTGCGAGGCAGGAAGGAACCTTACAGCTTTACACCTACACTCTGAACCCCAAACCCTAAACCCTGAAACCCTGAAACCCTAAAGCAGATTGAAGCCACCGGCACTTTGTGTTGGCATTGAAGCTTTAGGGGCTGAGGACTGCGGTTCTCTTGAGGGTTTTCTCCCGAAGCCTTGAACGGTAGTGATACTGTAGCGTTTTTAGGGTTTAGGGTTTAGGGCTTAGCGCTTTTCGGGTTTAAGGTTTGGGGTAGTTGTAACTGGCATATGGGTTACTACTACAGTTACCCTACTCATAACCCCGCTTACAACTACTCATGATCCTCTAAGTAAGCCTTGAACGTCCTGCTCCAAGGATTTGTATCGGTGACGGTGATTCTGTTATTTGCGCTCCACTGGCAAGCATGGAGAGCACGAATTAGGGTTGAAGGCTTAGGAAACCTTAATCCCGAACCCAGCCCTTAAACCCTAAACCCTAGACACTAAGCCCGGAAAATTGTGATCCTGCTCACATGCTGATTGTAACCGTAGGAGCTCACGGCACCCCCTCCGGGCATAGTCCAAATACGAGGCCCTGAACCCTTCTCATGCACCTGTGGGGTTTAGGGCTGAGGGTTGTAAGCGACAACCGCTGAAACCCCATAAGGCTCCTAGAAGGATCACGCAAGCAAGGCGCACACAAACGCTCCAGGAACAAGGCTGTCCTCAACCGGTGTCTTGCAGGGTTTAGGCAAGTTTCCGTGAAGGCAGACTGGACGGAAGCTGTCTTTTTTGCCAGGGAATCGTAGTTTTCGGACAAGGTGAGGGTTCGCGGCTCCAGGCGTCAATTTTCGAAGCTTGCAAGCCCTCTACGCCTAGCTCAGTATTTCTTCGAATTGCTCAGACGTTGCAGGAGCAAAGAAACTACCTAAGCCCTAAAGCCTAGACTGCCCTAGACCCTATAGACCCTGAGCCCTAAACCCTACCTAAACCCTAAGCTTCATGGGCTTGTGAGACCCATTGAGTTTGATCTCCTTCCGAGGGGCTGATGCTGCCTTCGCCGCTGACCCGACAAACGCCGTGGTCCTTTGTAGTTTTCGTGGCAGCCTGGTCGAAGTTAGGTCAGAATCCGGTCTCGAGTTTCGCCTGAACCTGGAAGGTGAATATGGAAAACCCAAAACCCAAAACCCTAAACCCCAAACCCTAAACCCTAAACCCCAAGCCCCAAAGCTTAGGCCCCAAACACCAAAGCCCAATTCCGAAACGCTTCAACTTCTGGGATGGCGCTCATAAAGGAAGGCTTTTGTAAGTTTTTAAAAAATTATTGAATGATTTTATACAAACACTATTGATTGTTTAGTTAGAATATTATAGTTTAAGATGTTTCGGGGCTGCCCTGACATCCCGAAAGCCCTGAGCCCGCAAAGCCTGGAGCCCTGCAGCTCTAAGCCGCCAAGCCTAGTCCCAAAAACCCTACCCTACTTAGAGGATCATGGGACTTAGGGTTCCTTAACGGGCTCCTTAAAGGGTGTTGGGTTTAGGGATCTATAATATAAGGGTTCTATAAGGGGTAGTTTAGGTTACTTAGAGGATCATGGGACTTCGTAAGTAGGTTATAATTGGGGTGATAAGTCCCGTAAGTGGGGTTATCCTAATTAGAACCTACTTACAACCTTACTTACTAAGTCCCATGAGCCTTCAAGCAGTCCCAAAAACCCTACCCTAAGCCCCAAACACCAAGAACCCCTAACCCCCAAAACCCCAAATTCTATGATCCCTTTGTGGGGCTGTGTTGGCGGGGCTTAAGCGCTCTCGGGTTCAGGCGATCTTTAGGGTTTTATAGGGTTCTCTAAATGGATTATGGAGGTGTTGAAAGGTGTTGTAAGGGTGTCCGCTAGCGGTTTGATTGCAAGGGCCTTTCCAGCAGTTCACATGGCAATTTCTGAAAATTGTTTCGGAGTGCCTTTTGTGGGGACAGTTGAACGAGGATTCTACTGCTCAGAGCTTACTTATTACTTGGGGTCCCGGTTTTGGGTCCGTTAAATTTGACGCATTTTTCATATGTACCTTAGTCCGGACAGCAAAGAGTCAAGGCTGTAGTTCCCTTGATCTAATTGGCGGTAAGTGAAACCCATGACCCTCGAGCCCCAAAAGCCGAGGAGTCCCTTTAAGACAGTTACAAAAATCTGCAGCACCAGGCGTCTTCGCTCATGCTTGCAATACCCAAACCATGAAACTGTAGTTCAGAGTTTAAGGTTAAATAGAGAGAAGGGTTTTGCTAAACCCTATGACATCCTACGATGGGGTTTAGGTTTAGGCTTTTATGACCTGACAGGGCGCCGGCCACATCCACAGTAATGACGTCGCAGCCGCAGCAAACGCCATTAGTAGTCGTGGCAGAAACAAGACTTGCATGGCGTCGCGAATGTGTGGGCAAGCCGGGTTTCGGGTATAGCTGAGGCCCTGAACTTTATCTCGCCACCTTTATTGTTGCTCCTGGTGCTCTTGGTCATCCGATGTCACTTGGCGCGCACCCTTCGCCCTTGAACCCCAAGCCCGAAGCCCTAAACCCTAAACCCTAAACCCGAAGCCCTAAACGACCCTGAACACCCTAAGCCCTCCACCCGGAACCCGAACCCGAACCATCCCTGAACCCAAAACCCTGAACCCTTACGGAATCCCTTATGCAACTCCGCAAGGGAACCCTGGGAGAACCAGTCTGCTCCGTAAATTTCGAGCCCTCGACCCCAAGACTCGAGCGCCGAGGAAAAGGGGCCTTAAGGATTAGAATAGGGTTCCTTTAAAGGGTCCCTTAAAGGGGCTCTATGAGGGCTTCTACAGGGTATATAGTATAGGGGCCTTCATAATTGGAATAGGGTTTTGGGGCCCATTATACTATGATCATAATAAGGAACCCCAAGAAAGAATACGTAACTCTTTAGGCACCTATAGTAGACAGGAAGACCTTGAGCCCAAACAGCCAGCAGCCCAGGTGTTCCCCGCAGTTGCAAGGACCAGGGCATTTCTGAAAAGTGCGAGAAATAGCTTGTGATTTCGGGTTTAGGGGTTCAGGGTTTAGGGTTTAGGGGTTTAGGGATTTCGGGGTGCGGGCTTAGGAGGGTAGTAGTAGCAGTAGCAGTGGCGGTAGCAGCGGCAGTGACAGGACGAGGAGGAAATATTGGTAGCCCTGGTGCTGCAAGAGTCGGTGCTAGTTCTCATCCTGTTGCCACCGCCGCTAGGGTTGCAATTGACCTGTAATCTAGCCTCAACCCGAATCGAAAGCTCGCAACATCTGTAAACACCCTGGACGTCCCTTAGCCGTACATCCTAAACCTAGACTCTATACGGATATGGGAGTTTCCGAAAATTAGGGATACCTTATTTGGAGATCCCTATAATAAGGATCCCACTATTTAGGGTACTATATTTGGCTCCCCTATTTTTGGAAACTCCCATATGCCATGTGCTTGGGCGGCCCTGCGGCGAGGACGTCGTCCTCGTAAGCGCGCTTTCGCTCGGCCAAGCGATGTCATCGGGCTGGTTTAAGGGTTTCGGGGTCTAGGGGTTTGGGGGTTTAGGGGTTTAGGGGTTTGGGGTTTAGGGGTTTACGGGTTTCGAAGGATTGATTGCTTAGGGTTTAGCGTTTCATTTCACGATGTGCGGCGCAAGGGGGGGCTGCCTGGAAACTTAGGTGTCCTTACTCGCAGCAGATATTTCTTCACTAGCAGCTTCAATCTACGAGCTTTCGGGGGGATTTAGGGGTTTAGGGTTTAGGGGTTTAGGGGTTTAGGGTTTAGGGGTTTAGGGTTTACGGTTTAGGGGTGTAGGGTTTAGGGGTAAGTAGACTGCAAAATGTTTAGGGCTCGCATGGAGGTTCTGGGGACGTGGTGGGTGGCGCAGTGGCAAGTACCCCATCCGGGTGTATGGGAGTTTTGGAAAATAGGGTTTAGGGTTTAGGGTTTAGGGTTTAGGGGTTTAGGGTTTACGGGCCCTAAACCCTAAACCCTCATATAGCACCCTAACTATAAGGACCCAAAATAAGGTACCCCTAATGTTCGGAAACTCCCATATACCTGTCATCTCGGGGCTCGCGAGCCTTCATTCAAGGAGGCTTGCTCGGAAGCCGCAGCACATTCCCCAAAGCCGCAACTCCAAAGTCAAATGTAGCAATATATATGATGGGGATTACCGGATGAAGGCAACACCCTGAACCTGAAACCCAAACTGCACCCCAAACCCTAAACTATCCTGAGGCATGAACGGTTCATACCTAAAGCCTAAACCCTAAGCCCTAAACCCTAATCTATCTTATGAACCTAAGACCTAAACCCTAAACCTTACGTAATCTATCCTGAGGTATGAACCTAAAGCCCTAATCTATCTTGAGGTATGAACCTAAAACCTAGACTCTAAACCCTAATCTCGGCTGAGGGTCTAAACCCTAAACCCTCATCTATCTTGAGGTATGAACCTAAAACCTAAACCCTAAACCCAAAACCGTACCCTAATCTATCTTGAGGTATGTCTCAGCATCTCCTGCACGGCTGGCCCTTTATCTCGATGTGCCAGCTAGCCAGGCCCCGGGGTCGGGTTCCATCATTAGGGCCCTTGGGAGGTCGTATTCATGAGACTAGGCTTTTGGGGGATAGTATAATATACCCCCAAACCCCAGTCTAGTTATTGAGGGCCTTTGGAGGTTTCGTTAAAGGGTTAGTGTAGGGGTCGTAATCGTTAGAATAGGCTTTTGGGGGATTTTAAGATACACCCACAAATCCTATTCTACTTATGAGGCTCCTACATTATGCTACAGGGGATCTACAAGGGTTCTATGCGGGTGTTGTAGGGGAGGGTGCAGGCAA